AAACATACAGACTGCTCCTTGATACTACATCATAGTGACCATTCACAATCAGTGCAGATACACAAAGTACATCTAGAGATTTCACTACTTGGCCGGGGTGAAAATAAAGCCCCTGGTGTCCTACCTCCCGTGCCCCCAATTCTCTCAACAAACAAACAGTTCCTGCAAGCCACGCAGCAGCGATCCCGGCCCACTCCAAGTACAGAGAAACTACCACGACCAGATATTCCACGGTTCGACTAGTATCTCCAAAATGGAACCCGGGTGTCCTAGCTCCTGTGCCCCCAATTCTACCAACTGCTCCTGCGAGCCACACGCCAGCCACACGCCAGCCACCCGGTCGCACTCTCAAATACACGAAACCCTCGGATCCGTCTATCCTCGAAACGAAACCTCGGTTATCCTACCTCCCTGGGTGTCCTCGTTTCTACGAGCCAGCCTGGCCCGAAGCGCGTGACTGTCTTTCCTCCGCGGTATGCAGGTCCATGGGGGTCACGCGATCGTCGTCGGCACCATGGTACACGGAAACTAACCGGCAGCCACTGTCACCGTCGCGAGAATCCTCGTACGCAGAGCGGCGCGTGTCCAACGTGCGCGTAATCTCCGACGGTCACCGGCGGTCTGACGGAAAATCGGCGCGTGCGAGTCGAACGGCGTGAAATATGGTGCTCGGCAGTTGCACGATAAAAAAAAAAAAGAAAAAGAGTACCGTAGGTGTACGGTCGCCCGGCGCAGCCGCGCCTCCACCCAAGCCCGCCGTGTCTCCTTTCCACGGACTGCGACGGTAGAAAAGCACCCAGGCGCCGCGGCGGTGGCCCCCCCCCCCCCCGCCCCCCCCCCCGGGCCCCCCCCCCCCCCCCGCCACGGTAAGTCGAAACTTTCGATACCGACGAGTCCTCCTCTCCTCGCGTGCGTTTCGCGCGTGCGTTTTCGAGCGTTTCGCTGCAGCTCGCGGCGAACCTTTCGGTCCGGCGAATATTGATCTTCAATCTCGAACGGAGCTCCCGCCCGCCTCTCTCCCCGGAACACCCCCCTCTGCCGCTCATCGCCGGGTGCAATTATCATAGGCAAATTGCGTTGCGTTTGATAATCCACGGACGTCGTACGGGTATCGTCTGCAGATGTTTCTGGTTTTATATGGGAGATGTATTCTCGAGGATTCGAGCAAGTAGCCCCTCCGATTCGAATCTAGGCTTTTTATATTTATTTCTAGAGGCGGGAGGCCTGGAAGACACCAGGGGTTGATTTTAAAAGATCCCACTTCTTGTAAATAGGACTCGCTCGGATTGTATAATTCACAGCTCTTCGAATTTAAGGGTTTTCTAGTCGTTTCTAGGGCAAGAAAGCCTGAAACAGATACATATACGTAGAATTATAATTTACAATCAAGTGAAAAGGCAAAAGAAGCTGATTTGAAAGGATCCTACTTCTTGTAAACAAGACTCGCTCCGGGATTCAGAGACAGAGTGACACGCGATCGCAGTAGGAGATCTTATCTGAAACGATACACTGCCTACAATAGGAATCTACGCTACCTGAACGATACAGAAGCGCACCGGCGCTCTATCTTGGAGAAAATGACAGCCTCGAGGCATTTTGGGTTAAGAGAGACGAGTGTTGAGATAGAGCAAGGTCTCAATCATGGCGAACGCGGAAGTAGGATAACGCAGGGTTCGTAGGGCACGCATGACTCACTGTTTACAGGCATGCATGACGCGGTGATTGTGACTGACGAGTCACGCACTCGTTAGATGGTTAAACGTTGGAACCTCCTGCGTCGTTTTAATGTTTCTACTTCTGGAACACGTAACTAGATTTCTCTGAGTAACCTTGGCTTCCTGGTGAACGAACCAAACGTTTAAAAACATTTTCTTTATCTGTAACTAGAAATAAACAATATGTAGAGTACAGTAGTATAACGCGTGCCACAGTTAGATAACTCAATCCTCAATTATATTTGACATATCGGTTGTTTCTTCCTATGCGGATCAAGAAAATATTTTCTGAGACCTTTGGAAGAATTTATCCCGTACCTGGGGAAATGTGTGCATAAATACTGACGCAATCCTTCTATCTATCGCTGCAAAGATTCCTAAAAATGAAACAACGACTGATCAGAAAATGAACGTTCGAAACCGAACCATGTGGACGTCGGAAATACATTCTGTACTCCTTATCGTGGCTATTTATGGAATTCCTTAGACGAGTATCTATATAGCCTCGATAATCAACGTACATACGATCAATGTATATTCGACCAGTAACGGTGAGTTCGAACAGCGAGCTTTCGTTCGGTGCTCGGCATTTTTATCTAGATAATTTTCGCCGGGTCTCCGTCGATCGGTAACTGCGATACCGAATACCGTAAAGTCGTCGAACGATATCTGGGTTAGATCTCGCGTGTATAATTTTTTCATTCGACACAGACAGTCGGAACGACGTGTGCCGAATAGATTATACGGCGGTCTAAGCAACAGGGTTCCACCACGTGGAGTCCACTGTTCCAATAAACCTGAGGCGTTTACACGCGTGAATAAAGCCGACGCTTGACTACGCTGCTTCCCTTTATCTTACAATTAGCTACAACATCATTCGATTCGTACGTGTACAGTAGAAACCTGTGATACCTCCGAAAATTTTCCTGTCAGCTGTCGGAATTTAACGCGTTCAACGCCACGTCAGCTCTTCCTCGAAGAACTGAAGAAAGGTTAAATAGGGCTATATTTAAAGGTTATCAAACGAAACGTATTCGAACGAAATATTTGAATTTCTATGAAGTTACAAAAATAAATACCACGATGAACGTTCGATCAGGCTGCACTCTACTTTAACCTAAAATTTTTAAGTTTCTTTCACATAATCCTGTAGATTTTGTCGAGAAAAGATCCGGAAGCGTAAAGTTTCATCCGCCAAAGTAAAGTGTAACCTTCGATTACGCAGTTTCCGACAGTCGGTAAGGAAAATTTATCGCCATTAGAAATTTTCAAGAGTATCGGTCCAGCGTTAACAATTTAGTCGATTCCGTATCGTTAACAATTCAGCCCACAACTTTTTGCGTGACTTTTTCTCCCTACGCCTGGCATTTCGGTACGCGATAACGTTTTCTTAGGATCGCGGCATAAACACGGTTTTTCCTCGTTAATTCAGTGGTATTTCGCGCGCTTCGAGGTGACATCGATCGATAATTAGATTACAAGAGTAATGTTACAGGAAAGAAGGCTACGAGGGCACCGGTACACGCAAGAAGTCGCTATCTCGGCAACGCGGTGAAGATTTTCGTGTAATTGAAATTGATCGTAGATATCGCTTATGATTAATTCGACGATATGTTGTATCGCGTTTTTTTTCTTTTCGCAGTGACGGGGGATTACGTAAATATATATATATATATATATATATATATATATATATATATATAGAGAGAGAGAGAGAGAGAAACAAGAATGGCCGTTACCCGCGACAATGGATGGAGTATTTGTTGTAACGTCGACGCCTGTGTCAACAAAACTCAACGATAACCGTAACAGAAAAAAAAAAGACGTGCTCGATCTCGAGAACGTCCTTCGCTATAATCGGTTCGCGTATCGATAGCGGAGTCGTTCTGGAATCTTTAAATCGTCGCGCTAAGAAGATTACTGGTGCCAGCGATGAAAGCGGAAATAATAGCGAACGCGTGAACGAAGGGGTTGAAGCGTTTTGTTTTCTTTAATCGACGTTTTGTTTGAACGATACTGTTGTGGAAATTCCTATCTTCGCCGCTAGATGGTACCGCGCGTTTGCGCGTTTCTCACAAGTCCTCGATCCGTTTTACACTTATATATGGGCCTGGTATGTGGTTTTACTGACGAGTGGACTAGCAGCCTCAGGACGAAACGATCCTTTCGTTTTCTTCCCTCTGTGAGGGTTAATAACGAGACATATTAATATGGACACACAGGGTTTCGTGTATTGTATAAAATGTTTAAGTATGGATATAATTTTTCCTACCACCGTTGGAAAATAGAATTCTAAAATAGAATTCTTTCCTTTCGGAAAACCCTTTGTATACCAATCTTAGACAGCCATCAAATTGGATATTCTAAATAGATGAACGCCGGAGTCGAAAAGTCTCCAAAGCGTCAAGATAGACATCGAAGACGATCACACTGGAATAATTAAAGTTCAGGGTCCTATTCGAAGAACCTCTTGTCGTTCGAAGCTGTTAACGCCACCGAGACGATAAAATATAAAATCTTCCAAAACCGTTTCGCACCATAGAACCGAGGAGACCATTACTCAACGACAATCACCTCGGCGATCACTGCCAAGGCTCTATTAATATTCAATTGACGTTGGATTTTCAACGAAACTCGTTACTGGTAAACAAGTTAACCGGGTTTAAGTCGCTCCATAAACTCCTTAACGCGTTAGTCATTATCGTTCGCGATTAAAACGCCCGTGTGTACGCCTTATCCGGTCGAAACGTCCCCGCGTGATTCCATTTAGGAACATTTCGCTTATTTACCGCGCGCTATGGAGTAAACACGACGATCTCGTGCCTGGGTTTCGCAGGAAACTGCAGTACCTTAAAAATATCAATGTTTCTGGTACTAGACACGAGGATTCCGTTATACAATAAACGACGTAGCTTATAAATATAAATAAAAGCATCGCTTCTAGTTTACAGTCAGTCACCCTCCGTGTCTATCAAAGAAATTTGTTTAAATTAAACAAACAGATTCGCCGTTCTCAAATCAATTTTTCATTGTGAATACATAACCTTCATTCGGATAAGTTTTTTCGATAGACACTAAGGGTAGGAATATTTATCGTTTTGCGTTTATGCACGGTATAGATTCTATGCACGTATAGATTCTCCCATATTTGCCATAAACGCATAGACATACGCGGTCTACTTATAACAATAGCGGAGCCGCTACCATCTCGCAAGTGGTCACGCGTTTCCCAATTCTACCCAAAACAAAACAAAACAAAAAAAAAAAAAAGTAAAACAGACTCACTCTCAAGCTGGACCACGTCCACTCATCGAGATAGTTGGGCGAGACGATCCTGCCGTCGTCCCTCGTCTGGAGGGAGTTCAAGGACGCCCGAGTGACCAGTTCTACGTCCATTTTGCCGCGTTAGGATATATATCCGGGTATGAGCTATCGGAGGAACTCGATCGACGACGACGCGAACGACGACGACCTCGCGGCTGTTCGATCCATCGCGACTACGATCCACGACCGAACTGATCGTACGTGAAAATGACTCACGACCGAGGCTCTGCCCTGAACACCTCGCGTTCCGTCGTGCCGGACACTGCGGCACCACCGTTAGTGCACCGTTTTATCGTGATAAGGGAAATGGGCCACTCTGGACGTGTACCCCTCTGGCCCCCTCGCTGCCGCCGTTGGCGCGAAGTAAGAGCCTCTTCCGCGACGAAATCGCGCTTTTCCGTGCTTTCAGCGTTTTCGTGGCGCGCGCCGGAGCCGCGCTGACCGTCGGAGATAAAAGGCCGTGCTCGTGTCGTTGTCCGTGAATCGCGTTTCGCCTCGGGGATTACCCCGTTCCGTAGGAGCGCTATCTGCTTCGAGGACGCTGGGATCCACTCGAGTCAGACGGGGATTCCTCTCTCCTGCGACAGCGCCCAAACGGTGACCGCTTCGCCACTGAAAGTAAAACGGTGGATTTCAGTTATTCGAACGCGGCTGTGGATTAGAGAAATTGAACGTAATTGGACTGAGCCGTTTCCACTCGATGGAGAGATAGCGAGCGTACACCCTGTTTCATTGGGGCTATTTTTTTTTTAGAGGCTTACAGAAAGCGGATGGACGAAGAGAATACGTGTCAGGGTTCGCTGATAACTAGACCGCGGATCTTATGCATTTAGGAGTATTAGTCGACTAACGTGAGAAATATGTCCTAGATATAGCTAACGAAGTAACGATATTGTTGTAATAATTGTAGAATATATTCGGCGTTATGTATATTTTGTGTATGTCCTCTATATTGTTATATGCCAGAAATGCATAGAAACTTGCGATCTAATAATAACTATAAGGAACGAAATACGTGACGTACAGCAACGTTTCGTTTCTTGTTTACGAATCCGAACTTGAAATCTTGCGATTTAAAATGGTCTGCGTCTTTACGTAACCCGCGTAATAATTGCAGTCTTTCACGATTGGATAACCAAGTGTCGAGAGTGAAAAAACCTACCATCGCGTTTATTACCATTGGTTCGTGGGTGACAATAACGAGTATCTGATTACTGTAATATTATTTCTAGGTATTCGAATAATCTTCTGTTGGTTTGAAGTTGTAGGGCCGGGGGGGGGGGGGGCCAGGTCACCTCGACTATAGCTCTGTCTCGATTAACAATTCGACGAAGTCCGATCGACGATCGTTCGTCCTTTTCTATTTTTCGCTGTCGCCGCATGGCAACACGCCGCGTTCACCATAACGTGCCATAACTGTGTTTACATTTCTGTGCTACGCCGCATTTCGTATCGATTCCCTACAAAGCGAAACCGTTCTTTCCAACTATCTCCATCCTTTCCTTGCATCGGAGAATACTCGTTTGAGCGCAACAGCCCCGAATGGGTTAGTTACTTTGTTTACAAGAACGACACGGATGACTTTCTCTGTCGGATTCACGCTCGACGAAACCTCCTTTCGATAAACTAAGAACGCCGACGATCCCGAGTCTCGACGATCGCTTGGAATCGTGATTCATCCTTGGCGGAGCTCGATACACCGCTTGCTCCCTGTTAATTTCGTGCCATTGAGATCTGTATCGCTCGACCGTGACTCAAGTTTTGTACAACGACACGCAACTGATATGAATCATAAAACACGCGTTCGTCGCGTCAGGCATAATAGTTGAACGCGAGACAAATTGTCCGAGCGATATGAAAAACTAAAAGAAGAGAAACAAAGGTTGCGTGGTAGATTAAATTAAAAGAAAAGAAATTTGAGGAATTACGCTTGGGAATACCGCGCGGTGTCGCTGATAATATTCAACAGTAAATAATAGAAAAAGAAGGGTAGCAGTTGAACGCGAGGCAAATTAATATCGAGCAGTGAAATATAAAACTGAAAGAAGTGGAGAAGCAAAGGTTGTGGAACTACGCTTGGGGATACCGCGCGGTGTCACTGATAATGTTTAACAGCAAATAATAAAAAAAGTAGGGAAATTTACAAAAAGTTCCGTGTCACCTTTCCCGTTACCGTCGTCGAGTGTGAAAGTGAGATTTTCCGGGCAACTGGTCGGCCATTGTGTCTAAGGTGTCACGGGTGAGTAAATAACGAGTGAGTGCCGGAAATAATGTGTGCATCCATGAATTAAACCCTTGTCAATGAGCGTGAACCTGCTTTTATTTGCTCAAAGTTGTTCACCCCGTGAACGTTCCTGTTTCGCGAGTGCTTTTGCTGCGAACGCAACAATCGTAGGACTGCCGAGAAGCTTTCAGGGCACAGTTTCTTGCTTCTGATACTGTTTCCGGATTCTTACATTCACCTGGGGGAAAAAGTAAACAACTTTTAGGGTATGATTCGACCAATAGAAATTACCGAACTGTACGAATTCTGTTTTACGTTGAACGAACAAGTGTTTTCCGAATAAATGTTTTCTGAATAAATGATCGAATATGAAAACAGAGTTTTCGTTAACGTCGTTAACTAACCGAGTGTGCCAAGTCTTCTGACAACGAAATTGCGCGTTTTAGCTGTTAGTTTCATCAGTGATCTGATGATAATCGATATCGTGTGTCCTCAGACCACAGAGATTACGGAATTAAATTATAATCCAGAAGCTAGTGTTGCAATTAACCTTATCAGGGATTTAAAATAATCGTTTAGCGATATCGGAGCATAGAATTCATTGAAAAATACAACTGGAAATCAATAATGATCAAAGTCACTCGGTCACTTTGATCTTATCATAATGTCTATTGCAACATTTTGTGGGCGTATAATTCGCAATTCCCAGGTACAGTTTGAACCGTTCGTCTTTTTCCTTTGAGAATTTTCTACAAATGTAACCATAACGAAGGTTGTAGCTTGTTACATCTACTTAGCCCATTATGGTCGACCCGTGGACACGAAAGGAATATTGAATCATGCGATTGGAAGACGCGATGGCCTCTCACCGTCGGTTAGGACGTCATTTCAATCGTCGACTCTTAATCGCATCCTGCGTTCGCTCTTTTATATGCGAACGACATCGCAGACACTCGTAACGCCCACCCTTCCGGATCACTTTAACCGCCAAAACCGATCCAACGATCGAGTTAATCGACTCTCGGAGAATGGACACGAACGACCAGTTTGTCCCAGGATGTTTTCGCGTGCGCAGATAACGCTCGATGGAGCGAATCGATTATAACAACGCCGAACATAATTGGGGGATCAGTTGCTCGCGTGACTTCATCGCTCGTGACGGCATTCGACGCTCCGACTGGCCCAAAAAAAACCTACGCAAACGTTCCACGAACACCATTTTACATTGTCATATTATATCGCAAAAGAAAGTTTCGCTTAAAAATATTTACCGAGTCGCGGTTATTGGAAATTAAGTATCTGATAAGGGTACTATATTTAGTAGTATTAGGAACTATATTCCTCGTGATAAACGGTAGTCGTTTCATCGATGTTGTATATTTTAGAAACTATAAAACGTCGTTCACCAAAACTATATACTGTTAGCTTTAGTTATTTATTATTTACTACTGTGCGAAAGCTGATTAAAAAATCACGCTTGTGAAATCCAAACTGGACTTTCATGGATTTTGATTTTCACTTTTTGTAATAATTATTAATTGTTGTACCGGTAAAGAGGAAACGGTGGTCGAAGACGAGGGAACTCGAGGAAGGCTTGTCCAACGTCACCAAACTATCCCAACGATCAAACTTTCGACGCGACCGTCGACAAACGACTGATACACAAATGGCATTGTTGGGTTAACAACTAAATAATCGACCGGCAGCAATCACGCGCGAACGCCGAGACGCGTCAGTAATTGCCGTGCAAAAAGTCAGTGTCATTATTTTATAACTGGACAAAAAACACTGTTACGATACTAGGTCAGACGGAGGTAATCCAGGCCGGTGGTTTTCGTCGTTGATGGAGACCGATCCTTATATTCCATCGCGGATATAATAAACATTGACCTTTTACAAGAAATTCAAAACTTATTAACCCCTTGCACTATGCTAAAGTGGTCGCGCTGAATTTAACAACGAGCCTAACTTGTGATTTTCAACTTTGGCCCAAAATTTTCATCACGACTCTGATTCGTGGTTTTCAACTTTGGCCCAAAATTTTCATCACGAGCCAGACTCGTGATTTTCAACTTTGGCCCAAAATTTTCATCACGACTCTGATTCGTGGTTTTCAACTTTGGCCCAAAATTTTCATCACGAGCCAGACTCGTGGTTTTCAACTTTGGCCCAAAATTTTCATCACGGGCCAGACTCGTGATTTTCAATTTTGGCCCAAAATTTTCATCACGGGCCAGACTCGTGGTTTTCAACTTTGGCCCAACATTTTCATCACGAGCTTGATTCGTGGTTTTCAACTTTGACCCAAAATTTTCATCACGAGCCTGATTCGTGGTTTTCAACTTTGGCCCAAAATTTTCATCACGAGTCAGACTTGTAAAAATAGTCCGAGGGCTTGAAGGAAATTCAATATTGAATTGAAGAAAATTTAATATTAAATTATTTAAAAAAAACCTTAATATTAAGGTTTCCATAAAGATTTTGAAAGATTTCATTTGATCACACCAGCGTTAACATCGTAGGAAAACAAAGGAACGTGTACAACAGTCTACAACCGTCGCCCATGAAATGTCCTTTGCTTGTAAATCCATCGCACGGTATAGGAATAATAATACAATAATATCCAGCGGATGTACAAGGTCGATCCGTGAACAATCTGAAAATGCATTATGCGGGACAGTCCTTGATTTTGCACGCCTGTTCTCTACCCGCGATTTTCTTAAAAATGATATTCAGAATTTCGAGTATTTGTCCATTACCTGTAACAACTCTACACAAATCGAAATGCTCGACGAAAAAAAAGAAGAAAGTGGTACTCTATCGATTCAAAAAATGTACTCAGAATTTCAAGTATTTGTCTATTACCGGTAACAATCTATTCAAATCGAAATGCTCAACGAAAAAAAGAAGAAAGAAGTGCCTATGTTGTATCCTATCAATTCGAAAAAAAGATGGCCGCCCACTTTTAAACATCCTCTGGACACATTTCAGTCATAAAACTCTCCGAAACGTATCTCGGTACCTTTTACGCACGCTTAGAGACAGAAGATGTACATGTGTATATCACGAAGCCTGTCACTTGGTAAACAATGCCACCACTCACCGAAATCGCAGTTATATTATGCCATCCCCCGGCGTGTTCGTAATTTCCGCCAAAGTGTCCGCTACGGTTTTCACTATGTAGACACGTTGCTCAGACTATTGGTCGGATCTACCGACGATTTAACCGCGGTGAACGGTCGCGCACAATAAACCACTTTCGTCTGACGAAACTTTCCACTAGCGATATCTCCACGAAGCATGGTAAGCTCGACGGGTACACGATCGGGCCACGGACTATGGGTCGTACACCTACGGCTCCTTTTCGATTCGAGTCATGGTGGAGATCCCAAGGACGCCAACATCAAGAACACAATGTGCGTGCACGCACAGGGTGTCCAAAAATGTCAGACACGACGTCTCCTGTTGACACTAAACCGACGACGTTCGTTCGCAACTATTAAGTTGTCCCAAAAAATTCTTTCGCTTTATGAATAACTAATACATGCACAATAGTTTATGTTTTATGTTACATTACTGAATTGTGCACGATTCATTTTGCTCCATTACTGTTACAACATAAATATCTATGAAATTAGCAACTAGCGAAAGAAACTTTCGCGACGAACAGTCTCAAAGACGCGTTCTTCAATAATATACAAAAATATTTTACGCGGAATTAAATTGAATAACGCGTGAACCAATCTATGTATGAGTCTACGTAGGTTTGAGGTTAACTTCCAAAATCCTCGTCGAGTTATTCAAAGTTCGACAAGTGATAATTTACAACGATGTTGACCGATGTTTCAGGCAATGAATGAAAGTTTCGCGCGAAGAATAAATATTATTTTCGGGTACGAAACACGAGGAAAATATTATTTTCGGTAACGGGGGTTGCCGACTGCGTTAATCGAGGAAGAGAGGAAATGAATTTATACATTTATTACCCAAACTTTTTCTATTTCGATATCCGAGTCGATTGGGAAATTTTCGTGGGGCAACGCTGAGATTGGAAAGTTCGAGATCGCGGAATGAATTTTGTTCGCACGCGAGAAATACGATCGAGGCATTGGAAATAATGGCGCGCCTTACGGGTCGGTATTCGAGGGTGAATCGTAGGTTTCGATAGGTAAACAGAGAACGGACGTGAACGGTTGGTTTATTTCGAGACAGATCGATATTTCGGATCTCTGGTTTTGATAAATCCTCCCTGTTGGCGCGTCGTGCGCGTTGGTAACGCGAAAGTATTTGGCGAATACTTATGCAATCGTACCAGGCATTCCTGTGATTTCCAAATGCGAAAATTACAGTAGCAACGAGTCGACTGACCACCAGAGTGGAGAAACGATATACAGGGTGTCTCAAAATTGTTGGAAGTCATTGAAGAGGGTGGTCCGGGGGGTGATTTGAAACAACTTTTTCCTTAGCCAAAATGTTGTCCGAGGCTTCGTTGAGGAGATATTAAGAGAAAACACTGACCAATCGGAGCGCGTAGTCTACGCTTCCGCGGCCGCTCCATCGGCATCCTCGTGCTCTGATTGGTCAGTGTTTTCTCTTAATATCTCAACGAAGCCTCGGACAACATTTTCGCTAAGGAAAAAGTTCTTTCAAATCACCTCGTGAACCACCTCTTGCAAGGACCTCCATTTTCGGGACACCCTGTATGGAACAGTTTTTGTTCTTAATATATCAAACACCACGTCACCCATACATTCGACAATTAATTAGGACTAATCGTAAGCGTTAACGAAATCGAACGTGTCGAAGGGTGTGCCAAACGGACCCTGGTAATTTCGATACACCGTATATGTTACAAACGTGTACCTGTGGATAATAGACACGTTCGATGGTTGATGACTAACTCACCCGGCTCAATGGCACGAAAACAACCTCGACTTTATGACTTCCGTCGTCTCGTTGTCAGGAAGGTCGTTGATCGACGAGATCATACATATCCTGACGATTCTCGAAATCTGATCTCATCATCTGGTGGAACTCGTTGTGTCCTCGTGCGTACATGAAATACTTTCTTCAAACGTGATTCACGTGCCGTGGGAAGTGCGCTTCGTGTTAGAAATTTGAATCCTGTGACGTATGAACGTCGTACCCAGCGATCAAGCGGTAAGTTGGATCGATTCGGTCGATAAAGAAGAGTTCCTTTTCCCGCGATCCAGTACATACCTTCCGGTTACCTCGAAATCCCGCGCGTTTTGCTCGTGCATCAGTGTAACCGTGCGATTTTTGTAAAGTCCGAACACGTGGATGTACTTGTATTATTATCGAGCATCGATGTTTAACCGAAGTACCGAGCTTCTTCCGAGGATCTACAGCAGCTGACACTTTCTTTGCACTGTCCACAAGGTCGGTTCTACGATATCATGGAAAACTATCTATTTGGAAGAGATTATACGTAACACTTCATCGCATCGAACACCTTTTTTTCCTGACACTGTTGGTAAAATATCGATGGAAATGGAAACGTAACTTTGACTTTTTGTAAATAATTTGTTGTCTCCTTTTCCACGAGTGCGGATTAACTGTATCTGGTATTGTTCTCGAGATCGAACACGTTTCGTTAAAAAGATGAGTGTTCGACAGTTCTTTGGAAACATGATGGATCAATGATTTATCATGCGTTCGAGATAAAGTATCGATAGCATCGTACGACCGCCGACAAGATATAAACAATCGGTGATATGGCTACGAGATATAGGATTAAAAGCGTAGAGGTGTAGGATGAAAGCAGGCAGGCTAACTTCAGGTATTATTAATCGAAGACACGTTAGTGTCTCCACTTACCAACTGGTTGTTCGCTAAAACAGGTAAATGTATGAACAGAACAGTATATATACGTATAGAGTACCGGCTACATAAAGAAGGCAAACCAAAGGAAACGAAGACACAATTTAAAACAATTTCGTACTTCAAAAAGTATAATTTTTTCAATTTAGCGTAGATAAGTTACCTATTCATTTGATGACTTATCGTATTTAGCTTACGTCTTGCTACGCCTGATGGCGACACTAGCGCATTACCGACTGAAATATTCACTGTGATGTTAGTTCACCAGTTTGTCAACCAGGGATAGTGCACTTTCCTTAGTTTAACTTGTGTAAACAATTTGACAAGACTACACTATATAAAGAAAAGGTAAAGGTAAGTTTAACTTCTAAAAAATACAAATATAATTAGGAATAAAACACATTAGAATGGAATAGAGCACATTCGACACTTTCTGAATTGTATATATTGTGACCAATGCAATTTCAAAATCAGAGACACCACTGTTATTTATAAAAGGATATAGTGCAACAGATTTATTTCTTCGAATAATACATTTATGTTCAATGTATACATGCAATGCTTCATATAAAGACAAGCATCCTCGGTTACAAACAAACACGAGACACGACGACCGTAGACGTCTGCTCAATAATAACATTTTTTTTTTACGTCTGCACTTTGACAGAGTGCGCATATACCTATCACGATTTAAAAATCACCTATTCGCGTAATTCGATAGTGAAAAATTAGCGAGCTCAACTTCGCCGGTTGAATTTAAAAAATTTGAAATCCTATTACTTCAAACGATTTAAAATTACACTGAATTTTTTTTCATGCACTTAAAACAAAAAACAAAAAGAAAAAAAAAGAAGGAAAATTGAAAGACTAGAATTTAACATAGATGGTCCAATCAAAAAATATATATATATCTTCATATAAAAAGTATACTTCGGCTGTGATATCTTACATTATTATAATATAATGTTCCGTTACCCCCACTGATTTGATTAATTATTGACTTGTTTGATACCATTTTTCCATGAGCACAAATGGAGCAAGATATGCAAAATTATGGTAAATTTTAAATAATGAACATATATATATATATATAAATGATTGTAAAGCATAGCTGTAATAGCTGTTTTCGAATGTGTATTTGTATCTAAGAAAATAGACGTTGGACATTTGTCGCAATTTCTGTTGGAAGTTCGGTATACATGGAGTTCCATTCGTTTGGAAAATCTCGCTGCGCTGATTTGACAAACTCCTTGACGAAACTCTTCGTCTCTGTATGAAAAATGTAAACGCATGCGTAATTCGATATAGTAGTGAAAATAATTTAAAAAAAAATAAAATATTGCATAACATACCATCATCGGTAGCACTCTCCTCGTGTAATACACTGACCGCTACCTTGAGCAACATGTGCATATGCGGTTGTAAAACGGAATGACCAGCCTCGTATAATGTTAATATACTTTTAAAGACTGCCTTGTTCTCTTCGAAATCTTCTTTCAATGGCAATTGATTAACAAAAACTGGAAACACTTGGTCAAGTGGCAAAATGGAGTAATTAGCGATAATGAGTCGTGCAATTGCTCCGACGACGTTATCTCGAGCTCCCGCGTGAGTCTCTTTAGCGATCAAACTCGATAAAACTTGCAAAATATCAGGGTAATGACTATTGGATCAATGTTCAGAAATATTTTCGATTTCGCATGGTTTAAATATTAGAAATATATAAAACAACGCATTAAAAGGATACGAATAGACTGCATCTTTTCCATGCATAGCAAGTTCACCAATTCCATAGATTGCATTATTGCGAACCTCAGCGCTAGGATCATTCGTGAGTCTCAGCAATGTTGGGAGAAGCTGTGGTATAAAGGCTGTAACTGTATGTTTAAGTCCCGAGAAGCATTCTGAAATTGTACCAACCGCAAAGGATCTCTGCGCTTCGGACTTGTTCTTTTTCTGTAAATATTATTTAGTTATTAAATGCACGATTGCGATAGCTAGTATGCGATAATTAGTACAAGAAGAGTCGTACCAATCTCGCTAGAAGCATCGGCAACACGACTCGGAAATAAAGTGCAAAGTCTTCTGGAGCAATTATTTTTCCAAAATTAGATAATACATCACCCGCGCACTCTATCAATAATTCATCTTGTTCAGCTTCGGTCTCCATTTCTTCTGCGTCGTCTTCATCCTGACACGCCGTTTTGCCTGCAATAAACAATATCATCCTGCATATATCGTTATTAAAATAGCAGAGATGTGATAAGCTTAGTTTTTTAAATACTCACCCGACATAACGTCTCTGACAGAATTCATTATAGCATCTTTATGGCCCTCTCCAACTAGAACATCTGTTTTTACTTCTTTCAAGAGTTCCGAATACGCATCCAGCCCGCTAATGGCTACTGTTCGTTCGTCGTCTAGTCTTATCAGTTCTGATAATTTTGGTACGTATACAGAGAGAGCTTTCAATAACGCTTCCTTTCCTTCGTTAGTATTTATTTTTGAGAAATTAATGCAAAACTGTAAAAGACCATCAATGGCAGCTTTACGAATATCTTCTTGTGGATAATTAATTAATTTAAAAGTTTCCTCGAAGGACTTCTGAAGGTATGGCAGAAATGCATCTCTGCAATAATATTTTATATGTAGTTATAAATGTAAAAACTATATTATCTAATATATAAAATTAGTATACGTAAGAGAAATATCTTACTCCGTATTTTCGGCGATTTCCTTCAAGGCTAAAATTGCTTCTTCCTTTTCATCGATGTAGGCGTTTTCAACACGGTAACCTGCTATATCGTAATCATCATCATCTTCTTCGTTGTCTGTGTTCTCAATGTCTTCTTCATCGTTTTCGTTTTCACTTTCAGTGAGATCTTCGTAAACCGGAAAGGCAGAATTCTCGTCGTCCTTATAGTGTGGCTATAACAAAATAGAACGACACGATTGCAAAATATCATCGCGTTATTTATATTCTTTTTATAATTTACATACCACTATGCCTTCCGAGCTCTGTATGCTGATTATCATGTGTTCGATAATTTCTGGCAAAGCAGCCGCCATTTCCTTTTTCATTACGGTACTAATCGAGGCAAACAATCCATAGATGGACTTCTTCAAATCGGGATCTTGTGTTTCCTTCAGTAATTGCATTCCAAAATTGAGAGATCTAGCAGCCAAGGGTTCAAAATTTTTATTACCTATTGTTCTTGCAATCACTCCGAGAGTATCTGCAATATCGATCGATTTAAACAAAGTCCTTAAACGTTATCTAAAATTTAAGTAAACCTGTAGAAATACGAACCAACTGCTTGTACTTGAAGACACATGGTTTCTTCAGTTTGTTTTTCCGTAAGATAACTATCGAGAATAATAATGATCTTTTCGAAGTACGGCAATATGTGCTCCTTGCTGGCCAAGACAGCCGAACCGATAGCACTTAGAGAAAGTTCTCTAACGTGAACCGGAGTGTCGGCGTTTAGAATTTCGAAGAGCCTTTCCATTAAAGTTGGCAAATAGGGTAAGATACTTTCGTTCAAATTTTCACAGAACATTTCCAGTGCGTAAAACATACGATCGACCGACGGAGGCGCTTTCTTCTCTTGTTTAATGTGAGCACATATTTGACCGAGATACTCGAATAGTACAGGTAATAATTCGGATGAATATTGCGAAATGTCCGGCTGTAAATGTTCCGAAAATTGTCCAAGAGCGAAAAGAGCAGCGTTCCGTACTACAGGAATGGAATCCGTGATTCCTTGGCAAGTGCAACGTAAGAATGATTCGAGATATTTAGTTCGAATATATTCTGAACAACCCTCTGCTAACACCGCCATCGCTAAATAAGACGCTTTCTTTGCATATATGTCCGTTCCTTGAAGACTAGGTTCTATGTATTGCAACTAAAAAATGATATAGTAACGAGACATTAAATGTGTAAGTTTCTCTTACGGAGAAAACGATTAAAAGTGTATTAAATTATACCAATTGGGGAATTAATTTCTCTGGAGGTAAATTAAGTGCGAGTAAATCTAAAATTTGGGCAGCACAAGTTACAGGTGTATTGTCTTCGTTATCGGTAAAGTAAACTTCATCGTCTTCATCCTCGGGTTGCGTGGACATTAGAGTGAACAACATATCTATCAAATTATTGCAGAAAATTATATCTCTTTGCAAGAATAAAGAATTGTACGTGTTCGTTAATATTATTTACCTATTATGGGCTCAACAAGTTTATGTTTTATTATGGCTTTCTTTTTCGTTCTGGCTAACCAGCCGATAGAAACAACAGCTTTAACTCTAAGAGCATTATCTAAGGACTTATTATTAGCGATTGCAAGGCACATACTGACAAGAAGTTTGACATGAGGTGCTATCACAGCAATTGCATTTTCGCATAGTTCGTCTAGCAATTCGAAGCACTCGATAGCTTTATCTTCGTTAGTCGCGGTAAGAGACTGAATCGTGGCCATTACTTGTGGCATCATTTGATGGTAAGCGTTTACCATCTGCAAAAGTAATTCATTTATAAAAATGCTTAAGACTGGTTTTAATGAATTTACATTCATCATGTCAAACTTACCATTTGATTACCTTGAATTAATGGGATAAGATTTAGCATTATTCGTAGAACATAATATGCTACAGGGTTTCCTAAATCTTGTAGACTGTTTAATGTTTGACCCAAAAGAACTGTGATTGATTCAGCATGTGCTTGGTATGCATCAGGGGCCATTTCTGTCATAACTGACAAAGTATAGGTTCCCAACTATAAAAAAAAAGTTGTGTCAAAAAAATAATCACGGACATTAGAAATATTTAACAATTTCTTATATACCTCTTTCTCTGCCAAGTTTTCGCTGGTAACCAGTTGCTGAACAAATTGTAAAACTTCAGGCCACCCATTAGTAGGCAATTCATGTTTTACAATTAAACCTATTAACTGTGCAATTGCATTCTTTACAAATTTTTCTGGTTCGTTAACCAGTGCCTGGAATAATATAAATTGTATGGTCTCTTTGAAGAATGTGATTTTGTAAATAATTTTTTTACCTGGAGAATCACAGTCTTAAATTCGCTGCGTATAGGTGGTGGTAATTGCAACCAGTGTTTTCCTTTACTGTAACGATTCTTAAGCAATACGGCTGCATATTGTCGTATCTGAAGATATATTCATGTTATGAAAGGTTTATGGATACACAGGTGGAATATTTATGCGATAGAAGTACAAACCTGGGGCTTTGGCGATGATACTATCAGTTGACATAGTGTTGGTATACTTTCTGGTTTTTTTACAGCTTCTCTGAGTTCTGCTGTTCCCTGGAAACATCATAACATAGTTGTACTCCGTGTTAAACAAGAATGTGTTTTATTATAAATTGATAAATGGCTATGTAGAAAATGTGTACATTTGATTATAAGAAGTAAAAATGATGGTGTTCCATCTTGGTTAGTGGACACAGCAAGGATTCACGATACGTTATATTATAATATGTCCCTGGATTATATAAAATATATAAGTCTCTATGTGTAGGTGATTGCCAGTTATATGCTAATAAATGAAAAGCATGGTTCGTCCTCGCTTTAGGCTTAAAGCTACCTGACATGCATATTAAAACATCGAAGTGCTAACGATAGGGAAAGGTCTACGAGCAGTATGTTATTTCATTTATTTCACGGACGGAATGTACAGGAAAAAAGGTATGATTTTATCAAACCTGCAACGTGGATACAGCGAATTAAATTTAATAGCATTTAAAATGGTTATCAGCCTACCCGAACACGTGTTTCGAACATCACAAAAATTTGTCCTAACTGTTAACTGTCACTTTTCCAGACATACCTGTTGTATCGTTGTGTTATCAGCTACAAGCAACTTCGATAGTATTTCCTCCATAACTGGATTTATATTAATAACAAAATACGTATTTAAGAGTACTTCCAAACGAAGCAGGGGCCCAGAAGTAGCCGGCTGTCTACTCAGTCTACTACCACCGCTGCTCTGACCTGTTGGTGACGTCCATATGATACTTAAACACGCAGGCGCGACATTATACGTATAAACAACGAATAAAATTTTATTTAGGATTCATTGTTTCGTCCTTAAAATTATTTTAATTGGCAGAGAAAGGAACATTTACGAGGGAATAGAATGGTTGAATTATTATAGATATATATTTTGGTATATTTCTCGACATTTATTCTTTAAAGAGATATATTGTTGCCACGACCATAATTTTCTAAGTGCCTGTACAATCACGAAAAATAATAAATCATATAGATGACGTTCCAAGCCTAATTTTTAACGAGCGTGAAGTTTTATTTTATAGAAATGTAGCCTTCTTTTGTAAGCTTTTAAACTGGTATGGTTTCTCTTGTGAGTTCCCGCCATTTTCGGTTGAATAAATAGTCATCTAGCGGTGAAAGGGTCGAACTAATCTCGGAGTTTGACCAGCGCTACTATCGGGAAAACGCTCAAGTTTGTCCTCGAATAGTTCAAGCAGTCACTAGTCGCTAGAAGGCGCGATTTAGATGGTAATTACCGACACGATGGTAACTTACCGATGGGTGTCGGTAGATTACCACGAAAAAGCGCCATTTAGGCAAAAAGGAACTATTGAGGACAAACTTGAGCGTTTTCCCGGTAGAGGCGCTGATTATACTACGAAATTAGTTCGGTATGTTCACCGTTAGATGACGACACTAGTTTTCCGCGGGAAATTTGAATGTATTTTTATTTAATTAAATTGAAGTTCATTAGAAGCGTTTGTAAATACTATTGAGTAGTTTAAGAGTCTTTTTCGTATAAATTAATACATTAGTCGATGTATTTTTCGTTAGTGACTTGTCAAAAAATTTGTGTAACCGAGTTCTTATATGATCCGCTTATAGACAATATTAATCGTCCTAGGCGAATATATATTTTTATCGTAGAAAGTATACAAGTACATTCTTTTAATACTGTTTTAAATATTATTTAAATATTATTTTTGATTATAGAGACATATTATCATTGTATTTTTATCAATTATTCTTGAGCTTCACTGTTCCTCGTTCCCAACAGGAATCGGTTATTTATTGTAAAAGATTGCTTCCTTTACAATATTAGTCCAGATTTTTTACTCTTCGTGTCTGTGCAGTGTAAGTCATGCAGGTCGTTTGTTCGCCTACAGACTCGCAACGCGTCGGGCAGTTTATTATTTTAGAGTGAACCCCTTCCTATTCCCCTCTGTTCCCCTTTCTCTATTCCTTGTTCACTTCTTCTTTCGGTTAAAAAAAAAAATGCCATAGCTTCCCGTCTTTCCATGAACGCTGCGTTGTGGAAATTCTTTGGATCGCTGTTAAAAGACTGAGTATCGATCGGAACGTTCTTCGATGTATAGCAGAAGCAGCGAAAAAAAATTGTGAATGTAGTATTTTAATTAACGATGTTTTGTTTTATAGAAATTATTACCACTTTATTTTCGTTCATTTAACCCGAGTCTAAGCGCCTCTATCGGGGAATTTATTTAACCTCAAACATATTCGTCGTCTTGTGCTCGAGCAGAAAACTCTGGAAAACTCTAATCAATGTCTAATCAACCTTTGGTCTTGTACTTCGGTTGTCTTGGAAAATATTCCTCTAAATTTTTGAGCGAATGGTTACGCTAGAAAATAAACGAGTCTTCTGGTGTAAGACGAACAGACTTAGAATCTATCTCGAAAAAGGTATCGCAGAAACGCCTGTGCTCGACGAAGCACGGCCAGATAGCCTGTCAGCGACGTCATTGAGTGACTCCTCTTGCACCTCGTGCATATTCGTCGTCTGGTTTTACGTGCATTCCAGACGACTCGGTGGTAGTTCTTTCTGTACCGATTTAGTACCCGCCATCGTGCGCTGTTAAGAAAAATCGATCGAGATACCGACTTTCGCGAAGTAAAACGAAATATCTGAACTCTCGCTGTATTTAGAACTTGAATAAAGAGATACCGCAACTGATATCCGTTTATTCGCGTTACAAAAGCAATTCTACCGACATCTACGAGAAATTGAAGCAACGTGAGGTTAGGTTAAGAACGGCGCACTTCAATTTTTCGATAATATTTAGACGAAGATGTTACGGCACAGGTCTCGTGGGAATAAAATTGAGTAAAATTGCAAATAATGTTTAGAATTTCAGAAAGTTCCATTGAATGTTTGAACATTTTTAGGTACAATTCGCATCGTTATTATTGGTAGAGAGGAAACCCGGTGAAAAACGTTAATGCGCAATTAACGTTGGTGATGAATCCTTTTCGTGCGAGCCGACGACACGTGTGATCCGCCATTACACATGGCGTTTTGAAATTTATTACATAAGCAATCGTGCCTCTCGATTCTTCGGGTCGGGTTGGAACATCAAAAAGAACTGTACGGATACAAACCTAAGTACCTAAGTACAGAATTTAAATACTTTAAATAATCTATTATGTACTATTTAACGAATTGAGAATTGAAAACTGAATATACTCCCAATAATAATAATGATAATACATTTACAGATGGACGTGAACCTAATCTATTACAAAATATGTTCCTTTTGATATTATGCGACCTATAATGGCAGACTGAACGCAGTGTGGCTGATTCATTCGTGAATTTCTCAACTTTTTTTCCTTGACCGCGATAATGAGATCTGAACGCGCTGTCATCAGGCTATTTCAGGACATGACGGAACCAATTATTTAGCAGACTGTCCGCGCGGAGGTGCAACACGTGATTTATAGGATTCACAAAGGAACCGCGGCACTGTTTGAACACGTGACAGAAAGAATTCCATGTTGCTCAAATAAGTGTATCCTGGCGATGGTCGAAAGGAACCACCGTCATTTTTATGGCAGGGACCTAGCAACAAGCTGTTCCAATAGTAATCTGTCGCAGACGACTCGGCCCGGTAGCTGTACCCTCGACGACCATATTATCTTCTTTATAACCAAAAAAGGACTCGGGGTTGCTCCCAAGTTCCTCGAAGGAACCAGCGGAGTCTTTGGAGTTCAGATTTTTTTTATTTTCCCCTCTTGTTTTTTTACAAGAGGAGTTCAAGTCCGAGTTTAAGTTTTTAATATGAAATATCTTTCAGGACGACGTTTTCTTTGTATTTTCTCTGAAAATTGATCGGATCGACCAGCACGTTTATTTTTAAGTACGGACAGGAAGCAAGTAGGAAAATTGGCAAACGGCTTTCCATGCAAGCTGTGACGAAGATCACGTTGCTCGAGTTGACTCCAAGCTCCAAACTGTCCGATGAGCAAGAAGAGTTCCTAGAACCCGCTCGTGGGCTATAGCCGGGCACCGGAGAAAGAACTTTCCTTATCAACAATCGCTTTGTTGTCGCCGCAAAACCATCGCGACGTTTCAAAGCGTTCAACCCTGTGGCGTCTCTGTAGCTACAATTAACTTGGACAAAAAAAAAACAACGTCATTGTTTTAGATTTCATAATGCGTTGATAATTGAGACATTTACTCTGTACTCGTTCGGTATTTTACAGTGCATGATTAACACCGTTATCAATGTTGCGTAAGGAGACCGTCTACGCTATTTAAGCAACAAACATCGATTTCTATTTTTTTTTCTTTTTTTTTTAGCAAAGAACGTTTTAATACTACAGAACTTGGTTCGCGGCGGAAGACTTAAATTAATGATAACATTTATCGATAGCTATAAATATAAATAAGAAGTCGGTGCGCGTGGTTGTCGAAGGCGCTGGACTAAAAGATACTTCTCCACGAATTGTACAATGGTAACAGAGTAGAACAGGGTTGAAAGTAAAAGATTAAAGAAAGATCTCACTTTTTAAATAACATCACTTAGTTTTAAATCGTTACTTTCAAACGTGGCCTACCCCGCGCTTCGACCAACCCTCGAGCACGCAACGTTGTTTCTTTACAACTTCTATACATACACACACACACACACACGCGCGCACATGCATCCTGTCGATTAACCGTTTGCGGTTCAAGAGACTCTGAACGTAAAGGGCCAATCGAGGTCCATTCGTGACAGAATCACTGTAACGCGTGACCCACGAGGGTGTTTATTCATCGCACTCGATTATTTTTAAAGTTCAATCGACACTCGGCTTTCGATAATAGTACGTCGTTTCTACGCGTTAGGCTCGTCGCGTTCTCACATGCTGTACTTGATCTGATCGTAGTACATCGTCGACGAGGGCGTCGTAGTGGCCGTGTGATGAATGTTCGACGACACCGCGCCAGGTATGTTCGATATACTCAAACCGCCGATGTTGCTCAAGTTCAACGAGCCCAGCGAGCCCAACGAGCTCAAGGTCACGGATCCAGCGGGGTGGCCGAAGTACGACGGTTTCCGGTCGATCAGCCCGCCCCCGGAACTGTTCGAATTCGAATTCGAGCAGGACATTTTTATTCCTGTAACAGAAAAAGGATCGTTGCAAGAAAGTGACCTCGAGGGAATTCGTGCATTGGTAGAGGTAGAAAAGGATTGGTGCAAGAAGATGACCTCGAGAAAATTCTTGATACATACAAGTTAATACTGGAACGAAGCAGGTCAAACAATTGTTCAATGCAATTTATATTCTATTCCTTCTGCTTTGTATATCTAATTTTAGAACATCACTCCGTTCTAGAAACCAGTGTCTACCCGTCGCAAAATATTTTGTATAATGGAGTTATTATATAATTGCGAAAATTTCCAAGTGGAAATCCGAGGACGCAAGAACGAAGAGAAATCCTAAGTACTTGTACTAAGTACTAAGTAGCTTGTCCTTGAGCGAGCGAGTTTTTCAGAAAATTCACTCGAACGGGACCACACATGATGCAACCCGAGGGAAAAAGAAGAAAAAGGCAGGAGATCTCACGATACGAAATCAGTCCTTGTATAGGTACGATAAATCTTAACCTCCGGCAGCTCTCGAGTAGTTCTTCCTCGAGTGTGCACTTCACTCGTGTCTCGACGTCGTCTCCGTCTCTCTGTTTCCATCTCCCTCTTATTCATTCGATGCAAGAATTTGCTTGCAATAACGTGCAACAAATTCTGTTAACAGATAGAGACCATTATTCACCGTCCCAGGGTATCCAACAAAGAAAGTCTCGATATCTCGTTTAATATCGATTTTACGAAAACATCGAATAGAACGAAAAAGTTCCAAAATTTAATTCTCGATAACAATCGTCGTATACACTTTTGTCGCGGGAGCGATAGTTAGCGAGATACGGGGTTTTAGGTGAGAGGTTTCCGATTTCAATGTAACTGGTGTAAGAGAAAAGCTCGTAGGCGTCAGTGGGTTAAAAGCGATCCCGTCTCGATGGCAATCGGGATACGGGTTTAATCCCGGGTCGAAGGCAAGTGTAACGGCGTCGTGTGCGGTCTGAATGGCAGTGCTGTCAGTCAAAATCTCCCCCAGCCGTCTCTTCCGTCCCCCCTCGGCCAACGAATCCCGTGCTTCCTGGCCGTCGGCGGCGCTCGCGCGAATTTCTGTCTTTTTTTATTCGAATGCACGCACGTACAGAGGCTACTGGCGTACACCGTCGAAAACGACGGGCAGTAAAAGAGCACAGAAGCGATTCCCTCGCGAGGCGGCGCGCCAACAACGATGCCATAGTCGCCGCGAGCGGTGAGATCCCGCGCTCCAGAAATACATCACCGAGACCTGTGTAGAAAAAGGGAAAGAGGACGACCCGGACGCCTGCCGTGGCGTCTGCAGATTGATCTCGTTTACACTTTACTGACTGAACGAGAGAAGTGGTGGCGGCGAAAGGGCGGACGGGGGAGAGGACGACGGAAGGGTGCGTGGGTGGCACGTTTATACCCCTCGTCGATTTCACCGTGTATCGACGTCTCCGGAAGGAACGGATCGTACTTATAGATCGTACTGCAAGAAGATGACCGCGAGAAAATTCTTGATACGTACAAGTTAATACTGGAACGAAGCAGGTCAATGTTCAATGCAATTTATATTCTATTTCTTGTGCTTTGTAATTTTTATATTTTATTCTCCTCTACTATTCTTTATTTTGAACAGAGTTTCATCTAAGTTACTAGAAGAGGATTGGTGGAAGAAGATGACCTCGAGAAAATTCTTGATAAATACAAGTTAATACTGGAAGGAAGCAGGTCAATGTTCAATGCAATTTATATTCTATTTCTTGTGCTTTGTAATTTTTATATTTTATTCTCCTCTACTATTCTTTATTTTGAACAGTGTTTCATCTGAGTTACTAGAAGAGGATTGGTGCAAGAAGATGATCTCAAGTAAATTCTTGATACATAAAAGTTAATACTGGAACGAAGCAGGTCAAACAATTGTTCAATGCAATTTATATTCTATTCCTTGTGCTTTGTATATCTAATTTTATTAGCGAAAACCTTATTTCCGATAAGATACCCTGTATAGAAGTGTTACGAGAACAGAAAGAGTGGCGTTTAATCGATTATTAGTTCGTCATCGAGCAGTCGATCCTCGCTACCATAACATTCCTCGGGATCGCCGATCCGACATACCGAAACTGTTTCCACGGAAAGGTTTAATAAACGAACGTCTAGTGTTTGAGGTGGCCACGGTCGATGTACTTAGATTAAAGAACATCTTGTTTACGCCACTTGTAAACGTTTACGCGATAAGCGATCCGAGACCGCGCTTACTAGCACGCGACCGCTGCTAACCGATACAAAAAGAAAAAAAGCGTAAAAAAATGGAACGCGTATTCTCGTCCCGATTCATTTGTTTATCGGGCGACTGAACGCGTAATATACATTGCTACAGTTACGGAATCGGTTCATTCATAAACGAAACCACGCAACTGGGTTAAAACTGGAGACTTGATTCGAGCCTCGTGCTCCTTCATCATGGTAGATGTTCGTTGTTGCGTTAACCAGTTGGATGGATTATCAGCGATTCAGGAATGATTATTAATTATTTTACTTTTTTTTTTGAGGTGGAGAAGATTAGTTTGTTCAAAAGGTTTTACAAGTTGAAATATTTTAAATAGCTTATCTGCGAACAATAAAATTCAAATCTATAGAGTTTCATATTCTCAGATCAATATATAAGCAAAATATATTTTTTCTTTGCAGACGAAGCTCACCGATCAAGAATCCAGTCCACCCTGTTCATCGAGAAATGCGCACAAAGAATATGCTCGATTCTCCAAATTTTAACCGAGACGCCAAATAATGCAAGTCGACGCACTCTCGTTTCACTGCCAACGAAAGAAGACATTTAACGAGCGTTTAATCGCCGAAGTAACTGCTGTCCTCCACGCTAAATTAATCCGACGGGAAACACGTCCGAGACTTCGTGTCGCGCCGCGTTACACGTGTCGAGTTACCAGTTACGAATTACGACTTCTCCCATGGGCGTGACAGGACCGTCACCCTCCCGACTAATAGGTCCTGTCAACTCCCAGTGATTTCGTGCCTGTCTGTCCTACTGGAAGAGTACTCTCGCCCCTATTATTAAACGGAAGCAATCGTCAAGCTCACCTGTCCGAGGTGGTGGTCTTCTTACAACGTTTGCTTCCGCTTTTCCTACGGTACTCGGCGAATGCGCGCAATGATGCATCGTTATTAGCATTATTATGATGCATTATTATTAGTAGACTGCGGATCTTTATGGATTTAAAGGAAATTTGAATGTGTTAGAAGCTACAAAATGCAAACAATATGCAAGAATATAAAAAAGATTGAAAGTAAAGCTCATGTTATAATATTTGCAGAATAAAATGAATTCCTATTTAGGTTGAATTTTTACAGGCACGTTCGCAAATATTTTATTTTGCATAAAAATCCGCAGTCTAATTAAACACAAAAGATGAACTCCAGTACACTCGTGCCCCTGCCGGCTCGCGAGTTAAACATCTTCGACAACTTCTAATGTTCAAACAGTTTCAACAATACGTACTAAATTATTTGAATAGTCGCAGGGCTTAAATAGTCTATAGCGCTCCGATTCGACATAGAATCATGCGATTGTAAAACGTGTCGAGACAATTTCGTGAACGAGCGTGGACGACAGTTTGGCTGTCCGATGGTCGGCGCCTCGGCGGTCGTAAACTGTCTACGATTTTCCAGATGGCCCTGCTCGACTGTCATGAATTGTCATTGTTCTCCTCGACTCCAGAAACTCCGAATTTCGCAAACGAAAAATGGGAATAACTTTAGACAAATATTCTAGGTAAAATCAATTTCAAATTTTCTAATGGTTATTCAATTAGATCATTCTTTGTAAAATTATTTATATGCTTTTCAATTCCAGTATTTAGCTTCTCGAATTTATTTACTGCGTTGATGGCTGTCTACTTACAACGTTCAGTGTTTGGAAACAGACTGGGCTTTTGATGTACCCAGTAAGTGTATGGAAGAATTATTGTCAGCCAAGATTGGCATATGCTACTGTAGACAATTTTTTTGAAGATTGTCTTTTAAAGACTGTTTCTAAATAGCCCTTCTAAATAGGTAGATAAAGTGTTAAGTTTAGACTAAAAATCCCTAATCCATTCCTGAGGAAATGCTCTTTCAACACTAATTTTACATCTTTTTCAGGCGTCCAGAAATAATCACCCAAAAATGCGCAACAATGACGCACATGAAAGGGGACACGTTCCGTTCAAGGATTCTTGAATTAGAGGAAGAAGTATACTCACCAGTGTCCGTCACAGGTGTCTGGCACCCGCTGTGCGGCGAGCTGACGTTCCCCACGGGGCTGGTGTTGCCAGTTTGCTCAGGGATCCCCTGCATAGAGACGTTCGCGTTGGCGCCGGCATTGTTGACCCCAGGGAGTCCGTACCCCACGTAATAGTCCTGTCCAGGTGTCTGCGCGGCGGGTGCCGAGTTGGAGGAGCATTTGTAGCTCATCATAGCCTCGTTGTCCTTGTAAACCGTTTCAGGATGGTGCTGCTGGTGGTCCTTGACCGAGAAAGCCTCCGTGGGCCTGTAGGTCAACTGATCCTGGTTCCTGGCGGGGTAGCCCGGCTCGCTCTTGAACGCCACGATCTCCCCGTTTCTGTACACGGACGGCTCGCCTGTTTTATATGTGACCTCCGTGGTCTTGTACGTCACCTCTGCTATAGGAGGCGTTTTATACGTCGCCTCAGGGTAAGCCCAGTCCGCCGTGACAGCGGCACCAGGTCCGTACATCGCGTACTCCTGGTAATTCTGATACTGGTTCTGGTAACCGTTAGCATACTCCATGCCTCCAGGTGCCAAGTTCTCGTACCCGGCCGCCTGGACGCTCATGGGACCGCTCCCGGAGAAGTATTGAGGGTACTGAGGCTTCAGAGCCTGACACTTGCGACGGAAGCCCCGCGGCCGTCGACGGAAGCTGCCTTCCTCGAACATGTACTCCGTAGATGGATCGATGGTCCAGTAGTGGCCCTTGCCGGGTCTGCCTAAGCCTTTTGGGAGCTTGATGAAGCACTCGTTGAGGCTCAGATTGTGACGCACCGAGTTCTTCCATCCCTGGTAGGCGCCTCGAAAAAAGGGGAAACGTTGCTGAAGGAAGGAGTAGATCTCCGAAAGGGTAAGCCGTTTCCCAGGACTAGATTGGATCGCCATCACGATCAAGGCTATGTACGAATAAGGAGGCTTCTCCTGGCGACGCGCGCCGGGCTTCCTCGGCAGCTCTGTGCTGGTAGGGTTGCACATCAGCGAGTCCAGGCTCTGATCCTGGCCGAGGCTGGTGGCGATGGACAGGCCAGACCGTGGGACGATGGCGGAGCTCTGATGGCCGACGGTGGACTGGTCCTGCATGTGTAGGCCAGCGTCGGACTCGTTCTTCATCGCGATCCTCGCAGTGTCCACGGTGGTACCGCGCGCGATCGACGGGACGATCACTGTCTGGTCCATAGGGGCTGCGACTGTTCGTCACGCGGCGACAGACATCCTAAGATCGCCGATTCGCGATCTTCGAAGGCGCAGTCCACTGCACTGGGATAGGTCTGGGTGTCCCACGTTCTCCGGAACCTTGGACGAAACTCTAGGCACAATAAGGATGCACTGGTACGGAAACCTTGATTTAAATGTATTCCCTCGACCCACCGGGTGTCCAACGTTCTCTCGATTAAACTCTAGGCACAACAAGGATGCACTGAGAAAGCTTAATTCAGAGACGTTCCGTTGACCTCGCACTTGTCCCCACCGATTTCTTTCACTCGATCACTGTTTACTGTTTATTCTAGTTCAGCCGAAGCTGGTAATTTGCCGAGGGCCCAATTTATGGGACGATGCCACGGGTTACACTCGCAATTACGACGGCCTGTTGTTTACACGCGGCGCGATGTAAATTGGCAAGGTGGAAGAGGTGGTTCCTTATTTACGACGCGACGTAAACTGTTTGCACGGCAGCCGCACGGTGGGGTCAATTATTTAGACTCGCACTGGGTAGGACGTTGCGCTTGATGCGCCTCGGTAAATGTTTTCGGATGACTGGACCTCGGTATGAACTCCGGACCCGTTGGAAGCGTCGCGATGACGCGAGTCACGCCGTCGCGACCCAGACGCGATCTTCCGTGGGCGTGGCGTGCGAGGGGGAGACGATACGCGAGGTTTCATTGGAGCTTGGGCGATAAGCGACACCTAATCCAGCTGTGGGGGGCCAATGGGGGGCGTGCACCACCCGCGCCGCCTACGCTTCGCGGCGATAGACTCTTGGACACGCGAGGCGGGGGGAAGAATCGAAAAGAGTCGAAAAGATTGCATAATTTCCACGGTTTTCATTGTTGCACTGGATTATTGTCGATGATTAGCGGATAGGAGCTGTTAGAGATGAGTCGCCGGCGTTGGAGACGAGGATGTGGAAGGTTCTCGTTCGAGACAGGTAGTCGAGGAATTGAGTGAATTAGGATTGAGAGTTTTAATATTTTGTTTAGGAAGGAGGAAGAGTAGGAGAGATGGTTCGAGTTTGTTCCTTCTTAAACATTAATAAATTCTCGATATTTAAATGTTTTATTGAATTAAATTCTTTAAAATTTGTTTAATGAATTATGCTTATACAAGTCATTTATGGGGATTTTAATTTGAAAGAGTCTACCTTTAAGAGTCCTTAGAAAGTGCAGCAAATACATACTGTTCTAGATTTACATTTCTTGAAGCCAGAGGATGTATATTAAATTGGAGAACTCTGATAATTGATATATCATAACTTACCAAGGAAAACACTTGTTTGGAGATATTAATCCTAGTTAAAATTGAAATTCGAAAGGAAAAGTGTTTCTGATACCTTTCTTTTTCAAACAGTAGTAGTAATCGTATAATTCAAGTTCCATCCAAGTACCATACGATAAGATAAAC